TTGGTCACGATATGGTCTCACATCGTTACAATAAGTTTAAGTCAATCGTATGTATAAAGTTGATGCATATTAAGGAGATCGTCACCTGATCTAATCGGATCGTACAAAAATAGTATTGAAATCACAAAATACAAATTAAAGTTATAATTAACGCATATTTAAGTTGTAATAAATAGATATTAAAGTGATATTAAAGTTAACGCAAACATATATATAATTTATGTTGAATAGATATTAAAGTTAAAGTAAATGTACATTCAATTTATATTGAATAAATATTAAAGTGATAGTAAAGTTATATAATAAATTTATTTTGAAGCTGTAAATAAGTTGTAAAGTATCTTACAAACTAATAGTAGAGTGTTCTATTCTAAATCTAATCGTAAATGTAAATTGATGTAAAATGTTATATCGATAATAAACATTAAATGGTCTTGAAAAAATATAAACTTCGCATATGCAAATCATTTCTGATCGCTCCGATGCTAAGCCATCTAAAAAAAGAATAATGAGATATTAGTAAACATGCTCGTAAAATAATAAAGAAAAAAAAGAAAATTACTTACCAAAATTTCACATTCAAAACGCCAAGGAACCAACCGTTTTTTTAAAAAAAAGAAAAATTAGTAATTGTAGAAAATATGTATACTGCTCACCAAAATCTCACGTCCAATGAACCAAAGAACACCTAAAAAAAAAATATAAAATAACTATAAAAAAGAAATAAAATGAAACATTTAATAAACGATTCATTGAAATTTTTTTTTAAAAAATAATATTCACATCCGAAGAACCCAATTTCAGCTATCCGATATTTTTTGTTAGCAACAACTGAGGAAGATCGTCTAAAAAAAGAAAAAACAAGCCTGCCAAAGTCTCTACAAAAAAAGAGAAATGAAAGAAAAAGCAAATTCACAACGAAACTTACTCTTTCTTTTAATTTCGATGACTGGCCAACCGGGACCTATAAGAAATAAAAAAAAAAAAAGTAATAAAAACATTTTTTCAAAGTCTTCAAATTATTTTCAAAAACTTACCCGATTCTGTCATATCTGAGTTGGAGTCAACTTCCTTACAAAAGAGTAAAAAAAGTTAGAGAAACAAAGTTAGAGAACTTTTTTTTTGAAATTTCAAAAAAGAAAATTTAAAATTTAAAAGTTGAGAATCCAAACTTTGGAGTCATTTTCCTAAAAAAAAGTAAAGAAAAACGTTAAAAAAAACGTTTTTCCATTTTGAAGTTTTGCAGTACCAACTTCGGAGCCAATTTTCTAAAAATAAAGAAACGTTAAAAAAAGTTTTTCTTAAGTTTCAAAAAATTCAAAACTTACCTATCAGGATTTCAGTATCCAAATCAGAATCAATTTCCCTAAAAAATTGAACTGAAAACATTAAACTTTTTTTTTTTTAAGTTTCGAAAAGAAAGTTTTGAAAAAACTCAAAACTTACTTGAAATGTCTACTTTGGAGCCAATTTCTACAAAAAGAGAAAAATTTTAAAAAATGTATTTTTTAAAGAGAGTTTTACTCTTTTCAGAATCTCATGTTATTAAGATTATTAGGATGATATGTAGGAGAATATGTGTTATTAGGATGATTAGGAATGAAAATAAGATTCAAATCATCAAATGTACTGTTCAATATGATTATAAAGTGAAAGTTATTTTCATCTTGAATAACTCCCGTTTCTTTTTCTGGGAGGTATATATAAGAAGACTAAATAGTTATAAGGAAAAATAACGAGAGAGAAAAAGAAAGAGGTTCAAAAATTATTTGGCATAGTAATTTAGACTTTTATAAACATTAAGCGTAGTAATTTAGACTTTTATAGAAATGTGAGTACAAATTAGACTATATAGTAATAGTAAATTTAAGTTTAGACTTTTACAGTAAAATTAAGCGTAGTAATTTAGACTTTTACAGAAATGCGAGTACAAGTCTAATATATATATTTATGACTTTTCCATAGGTCGCAATTGTTATATTGAACGAAAATTTTATACGTATATTATTTTTTACATTATAAAATATTTTAACTTCAATTTTTCCTTAGTATTTAAAAAATACTACAAACGAAGTACGAACATAAAAATATAAAATAAATTAAAATGATATTTTTAAGTAATTTATTTTAAGTGATTTGTAATCATTAAATATTCCATATGAAATAAACTTTTTTCTTTTAACTTTTATTTGAATAATTCTTTTAAATTATTTTTCTTGTATACCTTTCAATAAATTTTACGCGACACATCATTGTAGTATCACTGTCATTTTTAAAAAAAATGCTTTGAAGTTGATATGCTTCTCATAATGTTTAGCGTAACTATATTAGACCACGATAAATCACATTTAACTATTCCGCAAGTACTTTAGCAACAAATAAAGAACTTCCGAACAGATGGTAAATATTATTGCTTTGCTATTTTAAGATATATTGAATGTATATTTTTTTCAGCAATATTTTATTTCTAGAGGACGTTATGGCTACCACTAGAAATAATGGTCATACCAAAATGGATATTTATTAAGAAGATGAAGAAATGACAGAAGCTGATGATATAGAAATGATAAAATAAGCGAAGATTTGAGTCTTACTAACCATTTATTACTTTCTTTTTTTTTAGACGGTTAGTTTTTAGGTCTTTGGGTTAGGACGTGTAGAATTTTGCATTATATTTAGTGTCTTATTTTAAATTATTCTTTTAATAAAACGTTTCTTGTTTCTCTCCTTTCACGGATTACAGGTATTTGATTGTATGGGAATTCAGTAGGTGTTCATGAAAATTTACTAATTTTTTTTTTGCAGCCAACTCTCTGGGTCTCTCTGGATCTCTTTGGGCATATTGGTTTTCATATTTTGGTAAGTATTATTTTCCTTTATTTATTTATATTAATAAACAATTACTCAACTTCGTTCTTTTTTTCTTAGATAGTTTCTTCTAGTTTCTCTATGCAAGATTTTAGAGAGTTTTTTTGTTTTCTTTTAATACTAACAAGGTAAATTGAAAGAAGTATTATTTTGTTTGTTTTATTCAAGGAATTACTAATATGACTAAGTATCTTATATTGATAACTATACTTAGTTTTTATTAGCAATGCAAACATTCTGGGTTTTTTAGTATAAACTGACTTGAGGTTAAGGGGTCATAAGCTTTCTCACCAGCTGGCAAAGAGTATGAAGTTTCTTTAATTCACAAAGAAAGCCTTGCTAAAGTCATCTTTAGTGTAGGTCTAGTAATACATTGCCTTAATTGAGCGTGGCTACGAAGTTTATGATTCTCCAACTACAGTATATATATATATCAATTACGTTTAATTACACCATTTATTTTACTATTTAAATGTAAATGCATGTATTGTACAAATCATTTTACTATAAATGTTAAATATCTATCTGTTACAAAATTTTTTGTTATACATTTTAAAGGGGGTTTACCACGAAATCCCGACAAGCACAATCCCGATATGATAAAATCCCGAGGAACGTATTCCTGACAGAGACAATATACTGAACGATCAAAATCCCGAAAGTATCATATCCCGAATGGTCTAAAATCCAGAATTTAAATTTCCTGAAAGTTCAAGTTACTGATGAGTCAAAATTCCGATACAATATTATAATTTTGAGTATCTCTTTGATTTTTGTTTACTAGGAAGATCATTTCCTACTGGCTATATAATTTGCGACACTATTTCCAATTTAAATGATAAAAAATTGCAATTTTGATTTATGACTTACATGTTACAGTATAATATATAGTGAGATCACGCAGTAGTAATTGACATAATAACTCCTTGGCAAATTATGCAAATTATTAACAATTGTGCAATCACTACGATATTATTACATAAATGGTCACATGAAAAAAATTCTTTTCTTTATTGTCGGGATTTTGACTCATCAGTAACTTGAACTTTTGGGAATTTTGAATTCTAGATTTTGGACTATTCGGGATATAATTCTTTCAGTATTTTAATCATTCGGGATATTGTCTTAGTCGGGAATAGGAGTGTCAAGATTTTATCACATCGGGATTATGGTTGTCGGGATTTCGGGAGGATCCCATTTTAAAGTGGTTTGTCAAATTGCTAGTGATCGTTGTATTGTAGCATTATTCTATTATTACGGTATATTTTTTAGATTATTAATATTAAAATAGTATAATTATATAGAATTTATAAATGATAGTTTATAATCGGCTTTTTATTAAATGAAATTATTACATAACTTTATTAATAAATAATTATAACAAAAAAAAGTAAAGAAACCGTTAAATAAATGTCTAATGCATCGAAAAAATGTATTATATTAATTGTTTCAGCTAATTTTCGATGATAATTACTATCTATTTAAGACTATGTTACAACTTCAAAAAGACTTCGTATTAGTGTGTCATCGACGGTTTCACGAGACTATAATTATCACGTGTCCGATACTAGATCGTTGTAATTTGATAGCGATCACTTAACTGTATGGTAGCAAATCACGGGTTTCTGCAAAGATATTCCATTATAGACGGAGAATAGGCAAATATATATAGTGGTGATGATAGGGCGATAAACAATAACAGATAACAGATAATATAAAATTTTTGATTCCCCATATTTTCACTATATTATAGATAATTACCGTATAACCCCCCTATGCCTCTTTTTTCTGAAAAAAATCTCTATTTTCTTCTCATTACACTATTTAAACAATCTAATTTTACCTAGGCGACACATGTAAACATTTTTTTGAATATATTACAAGTTTTTAAACCCTTCATTTATAGTAAAAAATTTCGTACACCCCCGGGTACAGCATCTCGTTATACGGTAATCAGATGAAAATCATTAGTCTCATGTCGGATATTATGTCTTGTTATATATGGAAATCACGATGGATTGACATTGATAAAAGTTTATTTCACAAGAAAGCAAGAAAGATTTTCTTAAACAAGAGATATAAATAAGCTCACTTTCTTACACGGTAATGACACATACTGTATCATAAACAATCATAATTTCATCATGAATCATAATTACATTATTATTTTATTTCTTGCAATTTTCCTTATACAAGTTGAAAAAATTCACTGCGGATGTTATCCTGTTGGAATGGATGATCAGACTATTGGTGGTATGTTAATTTTTGTTCAAAATACTCTAGTAATAAAAAAAATTAACTCCTTTTTTTACATAGGTTCTGAGATTAAAGAAGTGGTATTGTCATCAGGAGAAATCTCAGTTACGACTAATATCATTGAAAAGGGTACAAATGGAGCTGATAAATATACGGAAGGAATCGGTCACTTTACCATTAATTATGATAAACCCAATGGCAAACATGTCAGTGTGCGTATTTTAAAGAAGGGCGAGATGGTTAATTACCATGATTGTAGTGGTAACATTGACCCTAATGAAGTTAATCCATTCACAAGAATCTGGAAATTTGAACCAGAATTAACGCCTCCACATGGGACAACTGTTACCGTTGCGCTATCAATATATTGGGAGTGTATTTATGACAACGGTAATGCTGGAGTAGGCTGTAAACATGAAGATGTTTCTCTCAATGTAGATTATTAATATTTTGTTGTTTTTAGTATATCATATGTTTTTATCTTATTGTTATCAATCATCGTTATTTAATTTAGGAATATATTTGTTCCCTGATTAATATTTTTTTATGTGTAATAAAATAATTTTTTTTTTCGGAATTGTTTATTTATTCACTTTCGAAAACAAATAATCTTTCCATTAATCGATTGGAAATAAGTTATTATTTATTGTATTCATTGGAGAATAGAACGGTATCCGATCAAAATCTCGACAGTCACTTGCACGACTGGGAAAAAATAAAGGAGACGCGGCTTATCAAAAAAGTTACACCAAATTAAATAGCACGTCATTCAATATCAAAATATGCGCAGTAACCGCAGTAATGGGTGCGATAGCATCACACATGCTACATATAAATTATCTCTTAAAAATATTATATTTTTATTTAATAAAACAAATAACATTAATAATTCATTAAGTATAATTATTAAAAAAAAAATAAAAATCAATTGACGTATTAATAAAAAAAAAATATCAATTTTTTACAATAAAGACATTAATCTTTGCGAATTATTTTAAAATTATTACATACTAATAGAAATAGCCGTTAATACCCCCGTGTCATTACCCGAAAAGTAACGTCCGAAGGCACCGACCGGATGTTAAAACAACGATCTTATAAACCAAATGTCACATGGAAAAACAATGTGACAACTAGTGATATCCAAAATTTGGATATTGATTGGCTAATTAAGAAATATCAAAAATTACCGTGATTTGTGAAAAACAAGTCTAAATTTTATTCTGCTAAAAATCCGACTAAATACAATGAACGCCAAGAATAAAAAAAAGTTCTCTTAAGAAAACTGCGTGTTCTTTATGTCATTACAACAATTATAAATTGAAATGATTGTTTCCATATATTAGAAATTTCATTTCGCTTATTACTAATCTGATATTCTCTTTCAAGAATTGGACTAATAGCTGCCAAATGTGGTAAGAGCAGTGAAAGAATTTTTACGATTAATAGGCTTCTTAGAGTAATCATATCTTTATTAAATATTAGAGCGGATGAGTTCTAACCAACCATAAATCGGCAACGAATGGCAGAATAATGGAAACAATGTTTTCTTTGGCTTTTTTCCTTTCGTGGTAGTTAACAGCAGTAGCTTAAAGTGACGAGGGGAGTATACGACTTAGGTTAGGCAGTTGGTAAAACGTATAATTTTTTAAAGTATTCCTATATGTTTAAAGTATGAGAAAAACTATATAAATAATAATAGAATAAGTAACAATATTTATAATGAAAGACCAAATGATTACGATCCATTCATTCGTCGTCCGGATTCATCCATATAAACAATAAAATAATTATCATAACAATAATTCTTTATCATATAATAAACTGGAACAAAATAATGTACTGTACGTTTGAATACTAGAACTAGTCGAACAGGTATAGCCTATTTAAATCTAATCATATAATAAAGATAGTATGTTGCGCGAACTTTCATTTACTAGAGATTAAAACTGGTTAGATTTGATTTAATCCAAGAAAGAAATAGAAAAATAAAATTTATTAAAAGAAATTTATTAATGATTCATATACTGTACAAAATTATATTATATTTACATATTTTTTTTTATAACTTTCATATATATAATATTTTATATTTAATTAAATTAACCATATCTATAAAATAATTTTTTTCTAAAATTTTTTCCTTTCATGTTAGATTTGTTATTTCTAGTTTTAATATAATTATTTCTTTTTGATTCATTAGAATTTTTATGATAATTGTTTTTTAATTGTAACCCAACTTTTATATTTGTTTGACTACAACAGCAAGTAGGCTGATTTTCAAGTCTTTGAATATGAAATTGAACTAGTTGTTGTACATTTTCAATATCGTTATTCGTACAATTTTCACAGACCCAACACATACTCCTATAAATCTGATTTATACGACCTATCCAATCACTGCTAAAATCTCTAAAATCTCTATTAAACAAAGTTTCGGAAAATATTGGTAGCGAATCAAACGAAAAAGGAAAACGGTTAAGTTTTTCTTCATTCAATTTTCGTAGTTCAGCATATTCCATTATAGAATCAAACGTACGTTTTTTATCATTTAACCAAGATTGTAAATTTTCTTTTGATAAATTATTATATTGAGAATATGCAAGATCTATTTGTTCTATCCAATAATAATTACCGATTCCATAATCGGTGTATGGCATAATGTTAGTAAATTCCGACGGATATTTCATTTTAAGTGTTAATTCATGTCGACTATACAAAGAATAAAACATGTTTGGTTAGAAAAAAAATATTAAATTATAAATATAAATATTTTTAAAGAATATGTAAGAACTTACTAAATGGTTTTTTTATTACGACATTTTTCACAACATCTAACTTCAAATTCCCAATAAATTTTACACTCCATAATTCGTTTACAAATTTGACAACCTCGTTCTGTCATTAATAATTCAACATATTTTTTTTCGGTCATCCCTTCTGGTGGAGGCATAATTTCTTTTGGCATAAAATTTAATCGGGATTCTTTCCATATTTGTTGAGTAGAAAAAGAATTTGGAGCGCATAAATATTCCCGAAATTTACGACATACTTGAGAAAGTGTAAATAAATCAGTTGGTGATAATAAAATGCAAAATTCAATAAAGAGTTCTGGTGGAAGTTCTACGATCAGCATTTTTAGTGTATATACACTGTATGCACTGTATGTACGTGTATTTTTTTTTTTTTTTTTTTTTTTTAAAAAAAAAAAAGAGCTCCGACTTGGTCGTTTATTTATACTAATGATGTGATCTGCATAATACATTTTTTATACGCCAAATAAAGCGTAGCATCGTTTTTGTTTACGAGTTAGGTCAATAAGGTAGTAAAGGATATCAATATTTATTATTCACAAATTTTAATGACAATAACTCACAATAACTTGCATTTATTTATTGATAAATATGGGGATTGATAAACCAGGGCTTTTGTTGTAGATCCTTGCTTGATGACGTTATTATATAACATAAAAATTGAAAATTGAAAATTTTTTATTTTTTGAATGATGATCATTCGAGTATCATTCGTAAGTTTCTTTATTATGATACTGTATCATAATTTGAATGATTCATGATTACAAAATTAACTTTGCCAGAAAACATTAGAAAGTCATTAAAAAATTTTTCGATCACGTGTCAGTGCATAACGCCGGCAAATTATAATCATGGGATTGACCACGTGCCGAACGTCTTTATTAAGACTTCCTAATTTATATAATTTAAATTATTTTCTTAATTTCTAAACCAGGAATACAAGATCCACTATAATTTCTTGATACGTCTCAGTATTTTTTCATTTTCAAATTCTTCTTCGGCTTCTTTATAGTTATATTCGCCTTCTGAAATTCCTTCCGTCATATGATTCGCAACATCATCATCATCTGAAGTCTCATCTTTTTAATTAATCATTATTTTTGACAATGATGCTTTTCAACAAGTAGATTATTGCAAATCACAACGCGTCGTGTAATATGGATTGTGATACTTGAAAAAAATCATGATCGTATCAGCGCGAGATCTTCTTAAATGTAAACTCAAGTAACTCAAGTGAGAAATTTGGTAATGTATCTATAATTTAGGATTATGTTGTATTATTTGTGTAATAAGCTCGACTCATATACACATTAAATTATTCGAACTCCGACCGTATCTCACAATTAATTAAAGGGAGCTTTTCCGCAAATTAATTAGATGGAATGTTTATTGCGCGTATTGGAAATATCTGATAATGTTTAGCGTTAAATATTATTTTATTTAATCACATGCACAATTAAAGAATTTGTTTATTAAGTGATTCTATAAAATAATTTTTTTATAATTTATTTCATGTTTTTTCAATTTTTAATTAGCTGTTAGAAATTCAAATTGCAAAAGTGACAAACTTACAATTATTTATCCGTTATTTAGCTTTAATGAAGAAAGATTCATCGAATACTTGCGCCATATGATTCATGAAGTGAAAAATTAAATATGGCATCAAAATATGATTTTATAAACTTTAAATATTTCAATTTTTGTATTCACGAATAAAATAAATAAACGCGTCAATACAACTTAACATTAAAATTACTAATAAATGTTCAAATGTTCTAGCCCAAAATAATTTGGTCCGAAATTGAATTTGGGACAAACTGTTTAAAATTATGAAATTTTTACACCATAATGAAAGCATTCTTGAAAAATATCAAATAGGGTTATATACCAATTTACATTGCAATAGCGCTTACTATTATTTTATTTTATAAATGCACAAAACTTTTATAAATAATGTGCGCTTCTGCGCGTATAAAAATAATCTGAATTTTCCAACCCTGATTTTAACATTAGAAAAGATTACAAGCTAACATTGTATAACGTGTATGTGTTCAAGTTCCTTGAAAGTTGTTTTTTAAACTTTTATTAAGGCGAAACTTAACAATATCAGTTTGCGCATAAATCCTTGCTTCTTTGTGACGTTGTGTAATTCCGGCCCTAAAGAGAGCTAATAGCAAACCTCCTGTCAACTATTCGTCAGTCCAAAGAAAAATTTAATGAACTGCCAGACAAATTCGTGTTCATCCAAGTATTTTATTCTATCTATCCACCTATGTTATCTTCAATTTCACTTTGCATATTCAATGATTAATAAAATACTAAACATGAATCACCTAAAATATGAAACAAAAATGATGAGAGTTATTAAATAATAACCATCTCAATTTCAATTTTAAAACTAACACTTTTATAAGAAAAAATCCAGAAAATTAAACAGTATTCAAGATATACAGTATAATAAAATAATTTATTGTTATAGTTAGAAATTGTCTAAATGAATACACTATCTTGCAACGTAAAAATTGTTTCTGCATTAAAGTTAAAATTAGTAATAATTTTCAAAATTATTTTCGAATCAAAAATTTTTTATCTTACAATAGAATTTAATATTTTGTTACCAATTTTTTTTCTAGAGTCGATAGATACTTTATTTAGTATATTTGTAATAAAACTAGTGACGGTGACCGTTAGATAGTCCAAAGCGGCGTCGATTTCTCATGGATTAGTATTTAATTTTATGAAATCGAATAAAATTATTGTTTTAAGTGCGGCGCTACCGTGAAATTAATGATATCTAGTCCCGTGAAATGATATTACATAAAATTATTAACGTATAATATTAGTGTTTACGATTTTCGATCTAGGTCAGTAAAGATTTTTTTCCGATATTATTTCATGTATTTTTTAATTAGTTGGAAATTGTTTAATAACACTCTGCCAATCAAGATCGGTGATCAGACAGATTTTGATCACATGTCTGGATTGCGTTTACAATCCTGACAAATCATAATCCTGAAGCTTCGAAACTTTTTTTTTTTTAGACGTAATAATCTTGTAAAATTTGCTAATGATCACGTGAATGGACAAAGAAACACCCGTGACCATTTTTGTGTATGTAAATATATCAAAGATTTTTTGTTGAGAATGACAATTTCTTTTTATCGAATACATGAAATAATTGTTGTGACAAAGTTATTTATTAAAAAAATTTTCCTTATTGACTCTTTATTATTGCTTCGATTCATTAAAAAAAATTCCAAAGAGTTCAGTAAACGATATGTTATAAGATTTATAACGCATGCAGTGTATGAAAAGTAATTTAATACAAAATATAATTTATACATTAATACCGAACAACTATTTAATCAGGACATATTGTAACCTTGTTAATTTGAAATATTTCATAATCACCTATTAAAAATTTTTCTTCAGTATCCCTTATACTATTTTCATAAAAACATTTTCTATAGTAAATATTATCATAATTCTTTAATTCATCAGAAGCATGTAGAAAAATATCAGAACCAAACTTTGGACCACATTTAGGACTATAATCTAATGCATAATTTACATTCTCTACATTACTAATATGTATATCTTCAATAAATTTATTCTTAATTTTAAAAGAAAATATAAAACTACCTTTAGTTTTACCATAACCACCAGAAGATGACCAAATTGTTGGATTATATCCACCAATAATTTCATCTGTTCCCTTTATTTTAATAAAAGTAATAGTACTTGGTTTATTATCACACAATTCATGAAATTTTTTTGGGGTAAACCCATCTCGACTTCCTCTTAATAATAATTGAAATTTATATGGTAAATATAATTCTCTAAAATGAGCAAATTTAACATTAATATCCACTTTATCAATCAATCTTGAAATAGTTGAAAAGATATTTAAATTAACAATTTTTGAATCTATAATTCCATCAATTTTGATATTTCTTCTAGGAGGCGAAATATTTTCATTTGGTTTACTATCAGGATCCATATAAGATTGTATTAATTCTTCAAAAAGTTGATTATTGAAAAGCTTTTTATATGGTCTTACTTTGCTAAAAAATTCTTTAGACGACATACTAAAAAATCTAATTGAAGGCAAACAATTTTGTAAAGTATTTTTCATTGTTTTGAAATCATTATCTGTCCAAGTTTCAGGATCTGGAATAAGAGTTGGATTTTTTGCAAGTCCCCAATTTAACAAATATTCCCAAATTTCAATTTCCTTCATTTGTAAACCGTCTCTTTTAATAAGTTGAACTAAAGTTTTTTCAGTAAGTAAAGTGAAATCAAATGATTCAAAAATCTTTTCAGGTGAATTGGCCATTAAATTTGTACAAAATTGGTGAAGTTTTAATAAATTATTAGATTTAGAACTTGCTTGATAAGTAATTCCAAAATTTTGTTCTAACCATTCTGATTTATTTTCAATTAAATATTTTTGTAAATAATCAACTAATTCTTGAAGACAAAGTACTTCTGCGGCTACCAAAATTTTAAGTTTGTCTGAAGTGTCTCGTTCGTTCAAAGAAAGGACGCCGCCATAAATATATCTATATTTAAAAATAATGAGAACAAACTTTAATAAAAAAATTATGAAAATTATAATATATTTATAAATTTAACTTACTCTAAAATAACATGAAATATTTCTGGATGTATGCTTGGCAAATTAATTTGAGCTAAATCATTACCCCTATTCTTTTCATAGGTTCGTTGTAAATAAGGAGAACGGTAACACATAATATTTATATGTGCACGAAATTTTTTTGAATTAGGACCTTCTCCAACTTCAATTGTAATATCACAATATTTATCATCTTTTAATAAATCAATAAAATTTTGGCTTAATTTCGAAAAAAATTTCACAGACATTTTTGGTTTTTTTTGTTACGAATTTTTTTTTTTTTAAAAAATAAAAACAAAACCATATACAGTATATATATATGTGGCTTATAAGGAGTGACAAAATAATGAGAGTAAAATTTGGAAATGTGGCTAAATTAAAATATTTACGTAGATTCTTTCCAAATAGAATTCTTTTATAATTACCGATTAATTAATATTTTATATGATAGATGGCCAAAATTAGCCAGAATTAAAAGATTTTTTTTTTTAACCATTTATTATCTTATAAGTAAGGTACAGATTTGCATTTTTATGACACAAAAGCAACAAAAGCAACCCAAAAGTGAACACGATATTGTTTAGTGTTTGTTGTACACAATGAAGTGATAAACTTGGCGTAACTTGTCAATTTTGGCGATCGTTTGTCTTTTGTCTATCTAATTTTGAAAGATAAAGTAAGTTTTCCTTTTTATATTGTAAAATAATTTTTATATCAATGGTCTTGT